CCATAGTGAAGACTGCAGGGAAATAATATCCACTCCCATATTTCTGTTGCTTGCTTGTTTGTTTTGATTTTTTGAGACAGGGTCTCTTGTTGCAAGGCCGACCTCCACATTCTCTATAGTTGAAGATGACCTTGAACTTCTCATCTTCCTGCCGTCACTTCCCAAATGCTAAGACACATGTCTGTAAAGGGTTAATCAGAGTTTTACTCTTTTCCAGGAATTATTTCAGGCTCAACAATTTCTTGACTTCTTAGAAATTCCATGCAAATGTCACTAGTTTCAGTCAAAGGAGAAATACAAACCAAACCAAACACAATGTAGTCATCTGGCGTCTGCCACAGTTTGGTTAAAGCTATATTGTATGATTGAGCCTTTGAACACACTATTAACAACATGATGGCTAACAACAAGATTAAAAATTAGATTTTGTGCCGGGCGGTGGTGCACCCCTTTAATCCCAGCACTCCAGAGGCAAAAACAGTCAGATCTCTGTGAGTTAGAGACCAGCATGCTCTACAAGAGCTAGTTTCAGGACAGCCTCCAAAGCCAGAGAGAAACCCTGTCTCGAACCCCCCCCCCCCAAAAAAAAAACAGGCACCAGCATTCAAGCAAGCACACATATACACACAATAAGACATTAAAAAATGAAAAGGAAAGAAACAGGTGCTTATTTCAAAAGTCCATAGATTCATAGAGTTCATAGCTCATAAATCTTGTAATGAAACTAAGAACCCTAGTACTTACAGACTTTCACTGTGCCCAAAAACATTGAAATGTTGAATTTAGTATCATCCCTGGGACAACAAGTTTTATGAAACCCAAACAACTGTAACTGCAGGTATCATTTGTGGTGAGATATTGTTTATGACTTATTAAAGCTTGACTGAGGATTCAGAAGAGCAAAGTCAGCCACAAGCTCTAGAAGCCAGGCACACAACTTTAATCATAGGACTCAGGGTTAAGAGGCAGACAGATCTCCATGAGTCCAAAGCCACCCAGATCTACACAAGAGTGAATCAGTCTAAAAGAAAATTATAGCTCATATCTTTAATCCCAACATTAGGGAAGTATATGAAACAGAAGCAAGGTCTCAGAGGATTCATTCTCCAGCCACACCGAGGAGAGGCAGCAGTCTGAGGTTTGGTGAGAGCTGGAGGAGGATCATCCCACGCAGTCTGAGGTAGAGGTAAGAAGGCGTTTCTGAATCCCCAGTCAAGCTTTATAATATACCATTACAATTATTTGTGAAGTTACTTTCACAATGATGACAAGTTTGTAAACTTTCAGTTTTCTTTTGTTTGAATTATACTTCAAGGGTGGGTTTATTTGAACAGAGAACTGAGTAGGTTGGAAGCAGGCACAAATACACAGCTTCAGGGACAACACAGAAAAAAGGTCTTTACTCGGCCTTTTAGCGAATCAGACCCTTTGGACAAGCAGAAGGCTTTCCTTCCAGAGCTGTTGAATACTGGCCTCACCTTTACGTCTTTCCAAGAATAGGCTGTTGATTATGAAGTCTTAAATTTTTAAAGCTCGTATCTCGAATTCTTTTCGTTAATTTTAGAGCCAAGAAGGAGGTAGATGAAACCTTAATTTACAGGGGGGTGGGAGAAGGTGGGGGCAACTAAAGAATGATCAAAATCTTAAATTTCAGCTTAACTTAAAAATCATAAAAAAAAAAAGCATACTTGCTGCATGGACCGTTTGGGGTTTGGGAACATAACACACACACGCACACACACACGTCTTTGAACGCTCCGCCTATTCGCTTTTCCTTAATGCCTGGGTGGTACTTTGATCCGGCAGAGGTCTTGCACTTCGAGGTAGCTTCCTTCTTGCGCAACCAGCCTGCACCCGTGCTTATCCCAACCCACCCGGACCAGGATTCAGTCTACTTGCAGCTGAGCGGATTTTTAGGTCTTTGACGAGCAACCGAAACCATTTTTAAGATTTGGGGAACTGCGTGAGCCATGGTCAATAAAGTCTGTGAAACTATACAACAAAAGCAAGTTTCATTCCTTTTCTTTGTTGATTTGAAGCCCAAACCGCGTGCGGGCTCCGTGGCTTAGCTGGTTAAAGCGCCTGTCTAGTAAACAGGAGATCCTGGGTTCGAATCCCAGCGGGGCCTTTTTGTGGTTTTTCCGGTGTTCGGCAAACAGTGGCCTGTTGAAGTGTAACATCAAAGTCGCCATCTTCATGCACTACACGCACTTCACGAAAGTATTTATGCAGATTGCTAAGTGGGTTATAATTTACAAAAAGAAAACAAAAGCTAAGGTTATTTCTCTAAGGACAAGTTTACGCATTTCTTAGTGTTACTATAATTTTGTCCCACATAGTTCACACACACCCGGCTCCACCCCCATAAAAACGTAAAAATTATCAGGGAAAGCAGACAGAAAACAAACAAAACTCTACAAGAACTACAAGACCTCTGACTATTTTTTATTTCTCAGGAATCTGAATGGGTGTACCCTTGCAGTCTGCTCCAAATGGTTTGTTTCTTTGGTTTATATATTTTTTTAAACCGGATTTTGAAATAATTGATAAAGCTGTTGCAGAAAGCCCCATAGCACCTCTGAGAACCATATAAACAAGCCGTGATTCATTTCAAAGGTGCATTGTGCTCAGAGCTTTTGGGAAAGGAACATCTGGAAAACCTGTCTAGGAAAACATCTGTATGGTCACCTGTCACAGTGTGAGTGACATTCTGAAACACAGAGACCTGAAGAAGACTTAGGAATGGAGAGCCTTCCCCAAAATACGGCAGTATGAAGAAACCGAGAAGTCTGAAAAAAGGAGAAAAAAAAAAAAAAAAAAAAAAGAGTACTTTCACTCTTAGCTGAGTGTTCTCACCAAGACCAGGTAAACAGGAGCTCACTGATGTGGCTGCCAATCCCCTGCTCACTTCCTAAGATCCAACTACCAGCAGTTGGCACAGAAAATTCCACATGCCTGGCTTTATTGCTTTTGTGGAAACAGCCTGCTACTCTGAGGGACAGCTCGGGAGGTAGTTACAGTTTCTGACCCTTACTGTGTTGTAAGCAACAACGACTGGGAGAAGGCAAATTTTCTGATTTATTTGATTTCTCTATCTGCCCACAAACCCCCTTTCTCCTTCCTAAGAGAAAAGACTACTCTTCAATTCCGGCACACCGCTGTCTCCTGCCACATCTGCCCCAGGCCGACTGGGTACCATTTTTATATGGCGGGTCTAATAGAAAGCTCAAGGGCCATCTTGTAAGTACACAGTGCTTCCACTGTAAAAATAGACGAAGAAAGAAAGAGAAATTTACTAAAGAAAGGAAGAAAATAAACTAAACTAAATCTGAATGAGTTGTGAAAAATTAAAAAGTGCGTTGTCAGGAGTGGGATTCGAACCCACGCCTCCAGGGGAGACTGCGACCTGAACGCAGCGCCTTAGACCGCTCGGCCATCCTGACCCACGGGAGAACCTCGCCCAGCTTTTACTTCTATCTTTTCCAAAATGCTGTTTGCTACGTTCTGCTCTTTTTCACTGGAAGTTTGAGAACCTTTTGATTATGAACTGTAGTTGTTGAAGCTGGGTGAACTACTGGAAACCCTCGGCTGTCAGGCTGGAACGTGGTGTGCTCCGGGTCCTAAGCGGGAAGCCGGTAGGTGCTCACCGTCTGTCACTCCAAACTCTGCTCACCCAGAGCCCCGGGCAGGCGATCCACCACCCCCACCCGCAGGCACACCTAGGCTGAGAGTCCGAGCGGTGCACCGCTGTGTGCACTGGCCAAAGACAAAAACAACACCGAAAACCAGAAATCGTTTCTCTCCAAAACCCACCAATCCTCGACAACAGCGGGTTTTCCAAACGCAAATCAAGACCAGGGTCTACTATTCCTAGGCATTTAGCATTTTAAACTGACAAACGTGTGGATATCAGAGGACAATTCATTCCACCAGGTGGGTCCCTGGATTCAACTCAGGTCACCAAACTTGGCAAGCAAGTATCTTTATCTGGTAAATCATCTCACCAGCCCTTCAATGCACTTTTTAAAATAGTTTATTTAAATTTATTTAATGTGCATTGATGTGAAGGTGTCAGATCCCCTGGAACTGGAGTTAAAGACAGTTGTGAGTTGCCACATGGATGCTGGAAATTGAACCCCGGTCCTTTAGAAGAGCAGCCAGTGCTCTCAACCACAGAGCCCTCTCTCCAGCTGCCCCCACCTTCCAATGCATTGGACTATGTTTGGACTATGTTTTCTGTGAATTTCTACAAGCAAAATTTGAATACAAATGAACACATTTATTTATATATTTATTTACTGAGGTAGTGTATTGCTATATAGCCTAAGCTGACCTCTTAACTGACTATGTGACGATTCTCTTGCCTCTATATTCTGAGTTCTGAGAATACACATATATGTCACCATGCTCAACTTAAATTAATTCTTTTAAAGCATAGATAAAGTATACTTTCCTTCCAGGAGTACAGCATAAGGCAAGCTGCATAGGGTGGCTAGTGTTTGATGGAAAAAAAGAAGAGAATAAAATAGGACACTAGGTGCTGTGAGGTGATGGAGGAAAGAGCCTGTGGTGGTTTGAATGTGTCCCCCAATTTTCATGTGTTCAGAAATTTAATTGTCAAAGACACATGGGGTGGAGTGGTAGGGATGGAACACAAGACTGCTGGGAGCTGTACCCTCTTGGTACTTGTGAGGAAGTGATGACGTTTACTCACCAACACAATTACCTTACAGGAACAGAAATGAAACAAGGCTGAGAGCGGGAAGCTTTCGGTGCAGTGGCCTTTTTGAAGGTAGTTTGATCCCCGTGAGTAGCTCCTATCCCTGCCTGTTCTGGTGAAGCTCTCCTGCAGGCCTAGGCCTGGGATCACCCAGATCAGCTCTGCCACAGCAGGCAGTGCATTCCAGGCAGCTTTCAATCCTGTTTCACTTTAATCCAGTCCTTCTTACTGGGATAAACAAAGAAAGCCCAGAAGCTACCTTCAGCAATCAGACTTTATTTATTTGTTTGTTTGTTTGTTTGACAAAGTCCATGGACAACTTCCATTCAGGAAGCTGGCACAAATACAATAGAAATTGAAGAGCTTGAATACAAACACAGGCCATTGGCAAAACAAATCCCAAACAAACAGAAGGACACTGGAGCAGACTCAGATAGAAACAAACTGTCCAACTGTGTTGAGCTTCATGGTGCAACACTAGGGATCCTAACCCAAAACTGAATTCACGAAAGGCTGAGTAGGCTACACTGAGCAATAGCACAGTGTGGAAAAGAATGGCAGGGGGAGAGAATTGAAGGTGCCTGTGAAGTGGTTGGACATTGCAATGACGGCTGGGGGAGCATGCAGCTGAGACTGACAAAAATAATGATGTTATCTAAGCAGGGTGTACCAAAACTGGTGGACTTGCTAGGTGTGGTGGACATGTAATTCCAGCACTTGGAAGGTGTAGGCAGGAAGATCAGGAAATCAAGATAAGTCTGAGCTACATAGTAAACCTCCATCTCAACACACACACACACACACCCCTAATGGAGTCAATAAGGTAAGGTTGGACTGACCTTCAGGAGAGGGAAAAAGGGAAGGACACAGAAAGAAGAGCAGGGCCTGATGCATACGTACATAACCTGGCAAGATTGTTGGAAATTTTCTCCTCTAATATAACCCTCTCTGGGTTTCTAGCCCTGCCCATCCCCACTCCTTTCTGTCCCTGCCTGGCTTGCTCACAGCTCTACTTCCAAACAAGCAGGGCCAGTCTCCTCTATCCTATAGATCATGACTTAGAAAATTTAAGATACAGTGTTCAAGATACATCCTGAAAGAGAGGACAAAAAAAAACTTAAGAGCTGGAGGATAGGGAGAATGGCCGAGAAATGCTCTCTTTTGGCACTTGCAATCATGATCTCATGGCTACTGCAGTTTCCTGAACTAGGCTTGCACAAAACTGGTCCTGTCAACAGTTAGCCACACTAGGGGCCCTACCCTTTCCAGCTGAACTATTGGATGCTGATAGAATGTGGGAGAGGAGAAATCACTGTATTCTGTTATACCTGTCCTCTTGAGCCCACCAAACTTTAGTGGATAGCTCCAAATCCTTGTTCCTATGATAACTCTGGTTAAACTCAGTGTGTCATATTTGAAGCAAGAAAGGGGTATTGATGAGAGAAGGGGAGGGAAATAAGACTGAACAGAGAAGTGTGATAGTAAAGCTTTATATACATATAATAAATTGTTAAAAATTTAATTAATAAAAAGTTTTTGAGATATAGTCCTGAAAAGCCCTAGGGACAGGACAAGTATACCTAGTTGGACCAAGTTTACTTCATTTGCTTCTGTCTTGCCTTCTCTAAATTTCTTTATGGGATTTTTAGCCTAAAATCTTCCTTTTCCAGCATCCCTGTGGTTTTGTTTTGTTTTCCCCTTGCCTAAAATCTGTCATTCCACATACCCCTATTCCAAACGTTGCTGCCACAATTTCATGCCAACCTAATTGCCTCTTGGTCTCTTAGGTGATTGTATCAAGTCTTCCCATGTAGGCTCTGATCTTAAGGGATATGGGCACTAGAAATAGTTTAGGAATCACCTCTCAATCTCCCCAATATTGATACAGAAACAAATAAGGAAAGCCTTTCTCCCTGCCATCTCTAGCAGCAGCATACCACCTTCCCAAGGTGAATTAACCACTACGACCAGGAAGAAACAGGACTGCAGGAAGCTGGCAACTGAAGCTTCAGAGCTTGAGGGAGTAGTCAAAGGAAAGGGAGACCATGGAGCTAGAATATTCATTAAGGTACCACTTGGCTAGGTGAGAAAGGTATCAGTTTAGAATGTAGAGTATCTGTTTCTCCAGAAGCAGAGCCTTCCCCCAGCGGGGACAAGGGAATGCTATCCTGGGCATTAGCAATGACTGTGATTTTCCCAGGTCCATTGGCGGTTGGACAGATGGTCAGGGGCTTTTTACCAGAAGACCACAGGCAAAAGAAGGGACGGAGAGGGCCAGAGAAAGAGGTGCTAGGGAAAGTATAGATAAGAGTGCCATCACTCATGTTGTAGAAGGAAATGTCTCCTGATTCATAGTCCAGAAAAACCCCAACCCGGCGAGGAGGTCCTGCTAACCGGAGAGGGGTCCGGAGTGGGGTGAGGGCCCAGTACCCATTTCCATACAACTCCACAGCCCAGAACCCATTATCAGGAGTCATGGGATCAAACCCTTTCTTCACCACATTCTCCCTACACACACCAATGGCCCAGTCAGTTCTATCTCCCACCTCCACCTCCCAGTAATGTCTTCCTGAAGTGAAGGTCTCTCGGCCTAACACACAAGGCCAGGAGTCAAATCTCTCTGGTCTATCAGGCAAGATCTGACGTGAGTCTTCCAAGCAAACTGATTTTGAATCCTCATACAGAAAGAGGTGGGGATGTGCTGTGTCTGGATCCAGAGTCACGTCAACTGGAGGCAAAGAGAGAGTGCATCAGCAAACACATGATGGATGGTACTTGGCCTATCCCCTTCCCAAATACGTGGAACAGAGTTGTAGGGCTGATGGATCCCTATAGTGGAAGAGCTGCCTGGCCACTCACTGTCCTTCTGTCCTGACCCATCTCTCACTGGCAACTATGGAATGACTCAAAAACTGGCTACCTAATGGGATATTGTCAAAGGAGCTTTTCTGCTAGCCATCTTCTGTGGTCCTTAGGAGGCCTCACAGAAAGTGCTGAAGCCATTCACTGTCACCTTCCCCCTTTCTATCCTGCCACTAAAGGAGACATTTGAGTGTCCTTGTGTTCAAGCCTCACAGGTCTTTGACTCCCAAGGTTGGGCTTCAAAGACAATGAGGAGCTCAGAACCACTGACCTTCATGCAAGGCAGTCTTTTTACATCCTGCAATGAGAAAAAAGTGAGACTGGTCAGTGGTGCGTGAACAGATAGGAAAGAGGAAAGCTTGTGGGTCAAAAACAAGAAGACAACTTACTGAGTTCCTCCAGAAGTCTCTCTGGAAAACAAACACAATTATTTCAATGTGGGTTTTTTTTTTTTTTTTTTTTTTTTTTTTTTTTTTTAAAAAAAAAAAAAAAAAGAAACTTTTTTTGTTCCCCCAAAATTCTCTCTGGAAAAAAAAACAAATTTTTTTAATGGGGGTTTTTTTTTTTTTTTTTTTTTTTTTTTTTTTTTTATAACAAGCAATCAGAAGGAGGAAGAATGAGAAACACATAGAGACACTATTTAATTCATGGTGACCCAGTGACAAAAACACTGCTAGTAAACCAGGAACAGAAATGCTGCCAGCAAAAACAGAATATTTCTAAGAAATAATCTGGAAGTTCCTCCTGGTTTAGGACTAGATCTTAATCATGACATTCTTCCTGGGAAACAGGATTAGAATTGGCCAGAGGGCCTGAAGCTGGGTTGTGAGAGGACATAAGGTAGAAAATAACAATGGTAGCTGATTTTGTCTCTGCCTGTGTCACTCCAGTTTTCTTCACGTTAGGTACCTGTGATTTTAGAAGGCTTATAACTCCTTCAACTTCAGAATTCTAAAATCCAGCGTTTTCCTGTTGGAAGTCATCTAAACAGGCCTGAATCCCACCTCTCCTGGAAGCTGAGACAAGAAGCCCTTGTGGGTACTGTGACTTACCTTTAGAGCCAAATTCACTCTTCTTCCCTCTAGATCTTTCCTTATATAGTCTCCAAGTGAAAAATACGGACCCAATGGTGAGAAATCCTAGGGCCAGTATGATGATAGCCACAGCTACTATCCAAGGAGTCAGTCTTGGCACAAAGGGAGCTAAACAAAAAACAAACCAACAAAATAAAAACCAACAAGAAGGACATTGTTTGGGAAACTAATTTCAGCTTCTCTCCTGGTGTCAAAGGAGGAGAGAGATGGGGGAGCCTCCCACAGCAAGAACTGCTCCTTCATGCTAAGCTTTTCAGAGAGATTTGACTCTGGGCAAAAACAAGTAGTGAAGAGCCATCTAGGCCAGAACATGAGAAATAAAAATCTAATGAGCCTCCTGGTGTTATAAAAACCCCTTATTAAACTACCACTGAGGTAGTAGGGGTAAAGGAAAAAGAAGTATGACCACATGCATGACAGAATAGGACTTGTCAGCCAACAAACAAGGAATGATTCCTGCTAAACCAGAGGTGATAAGCAGGGAATGGTGAAAGAGCTTGCTTCTTGGAAGAACTTGGCAGCCTGTAGAAAGCTTCGGTGTGGGTTGAGAAAGGGAAGAGAGGTTCAAGGAGGGCACAGTCAAATCAGAAAAGTAATTTAGTCTCTGTTTATTGAAGGAGAAGGGTCCAGTCAAGAAGGACCCCAGGGACAAAGTTTCTCTAACTCACCCATTTTAAGCTCTGGAATTTTTATGAGACTGGCATGGGGAGGGGGGTGTATGTGGTACTAGAGGTAGAACCTAGGACCTCATGCATGCTACAAGCTCTCCATCACTGAGATACAGCTCAGCCCTCAGTATTGTCATTGTAATGAAGTTTATAGGGCTCCCCTCAAGTCAGCAGACAAGAGCTGTGGGGGAAGATGTAGACAGCTCTGCCATGAAGTCCCTTTTGAGCAGGGCCCCAGGTCATATTGCCCCGAGTTTCTGTCAACATGGCAGTCCAATATTCTTCCACTGACCTGGTATAGAGATCTCTACTTCCTTCTCCTGGCCGAGGAGATGATTCTGGATGCAGCAGGACACATTCTTTATGGAGCTGTCTGTGATGATCACTGAAGCTGCCACAGTGAACAGGCCTTCCTCATCATGATTCCTGGACTCTGCAGTGAATGGAAGTCTGCCCCCTGAGGGAGTTCTCCACTGCGCTTCCGGCTCTGGGAACCAGCCGGAGGAGGTGCATTCCAGTTGGATCTGTCCATTCTCTTTAACTTCCATGCTGATGTGAGGATCAGAGCCCAGAGCTATGGTGAGAGAAGTTGGCCTTAATCTTTCAGTGGATATTTTCCTGGGAGCATGATAATCTTAGTTTGAGAATGACAGAGAGTAGGCAAAAGTGGACCACGAATAAGTGGGACTCCTCTGATTCTTCTGTGTAAAGACTGAAGAATCAATAAAAATAATTTCGCCGGGCGTTAGTGGTGCACGCCTTTAATCCCAGCACTTGGGAGGCAGAGGCAGGCAGATCTCTGTGAGTTCCAGGCCAGCCTGGTCTACAGAGTGAGATCCAGGACAACCTCCAAAGCAATAAAGAGAAACCCTGTCTCGAAAAACCAAATAATAATAGTAGTAGTAGTAGTAGTAGCTATTATTATTTCAATAAATTTCAAGAATCAATGAAAATAAAAGTATTGGGATCAAGCTCTTTAACATGAGGGAAAGTCTGATGGGTAGACACAAGGGTACTTGTCCAACCATCAGGAGCAGCAAGAACAATGAGTAAGAGGTGGTTTAGGAGCTCCAGAGTCAAGAAAGAGTTCTGTAGTTAAAAGTACATTATATGATTTGGGGGAAATGAGACAACTATGTTTAGAAATTTTAGGAATGGATAGAAAAGTATTCTCCTTTTTAGACAGAGTTTTATGTAGCCCAGGCTAGCCTCAAATTCATTATGCTGCTAAAGATAACCTTGAACTTCTGATCCTCTTGCCTCTTCCTCCCAAGTGCTAGTATTACAGGCAGGAGCCACCACAACAATTTTCATACAGCGCTGAAGATCCCACCCAGGGATTTATGCATGCTAAGCAAGCACTCTACCAACCCATACCTCTAGTCCCCAAACACGTGTGTGTGTGTGTGTGTGTGTGTAATATATATATATATTTTTCTAATTTTTTTCCAAGACAGGGTTTCTCTGTGTAGCCTTGGCTGTCCTGGAACTCACTCTGTAGACCAGTTTGGCCTCACACTCACTGGGATTAAAGGCAGAAACTACTACCACCCAGCTCCAAAAGACTATAGTCTTGATAACAGGCTTTGAAGGCCCCCCTCCCTTTGTGGTTTGTAGTTGATAATTTAACTTTCTTTTACCTAGGATGCTAACTCAGGAATTTTCTTAAATGGTTTCAACCTCATCTTTCCTCACACAATTATGCCCTAACAAAAATCAACATAGGTTTGGGGACACACAATTGTAATCCCAGCACTCAGGAGGTGGAGGGAGAAGGATCAGGAGTTCGAAGCCAGCCTCTGCTACATGAGTTCATGACTATATTTTAAAAAGCAACAGAGAGTGTGACGATGCAAGCCTTTAATCCCAGTATTGAAGAGGAAGAAGCATGTGGATCTCTATGAGTTCTAGGCCGGCCTGGTCTGCATGGCAAATTTCAGATTAGCCAAAGTTACATAGTAAGATTCTGTCACAAACCAAACAAACAAGAAGAAAAATTCAGCAACAACAAAGAGGACATAAAGCTACTTTTCCCATCTGTTTATCTAATTCTTTCTTTCCTTCCCCCTCTCTCTTCCCCTTTATCTCCCCCCCTTTCCTTTCCCCCTCTCTCCTTTCACAGTTCTAAAGGGTACAGCAAAATTCTGGGCTGCAGAGAATCATCATTAAATACCACCTCTACAACTATCCATATTCCAAACTAGTGTGTATGAAAATGTAAATTCGTTTCATGAAAATGGCCATCACTCAAAGGTGTTAGCACTCATAAAAGATAACAATAACTTTTTTTGTTTGTTTGTTTTTACAGACAGAGTTTCCTTGTATATCCCTAGATGTCCTGGAACTCACTCTAGACCAGACTGGTCCAGAACTCCAGAGATCCTCCTGCCTCTGCCTCCCGGCGTCGCCACCAACCGGCTTTGTTTTGTTTTGTGGTTTGTTTTACGAGACAGGGCTTCTCTCTGCCCTGGAGCTCATGCTCTTTGTAAACCAGATTGGCCTCGAACTCCGAGATCCTCCCAAGGCTGGCATTAAAGGCGGACACCAACAACGACCGGCTCAAGATAGTTTTATGTCATCTAGGTAGGTTTTTCTGTTATTTGAGGTTAGCTTTTATGCCGCAAACTCACGAGGTTCCAAGTAGCAAAGGTTGATTTTGAACTCCTAATCCTACTACCTCCATCTCGAAATTGCTGGAATTACAGGCTGTCATTTCACTCAGTTTAACACCCCCCCCCACACACACACACACACTCGCGTGGTTATATATGTAATCAATTTTTAAGATGCACTTCCCTAAAATGACATGAGAGTTATATGTGGTACATTAAATATGGTAAACCATACTTTTGGACTGGGGAAGAGATAAGTTCTTAAGAGTGTTTCGGCTTCTCAGCACCCAGAGGGCGTGTGGTGTACGTACACCTGTCTGAAATCCTTTACTTAGGAGGACGAGACAAGAAGACGACATGTGCAACATCTCCCACATGGTCTAGCGGTTAGGATTCCTGGTTTTCACCCAGGCGGCCCGGGTTCGACTCCCGGTGTGGGAATGTTACTATTTTGAGCAGGCTGATTGTGGCACTTAAGAGGTCTAATTTTAAAGTGTTCTTAAGATGTCCGTCTCAAAAGTAGTAACTTAAATACGTAAATAAGTGAACTAACAACAAATCGGGAAAGGTAATATATGTGTGTTATACGTCTTAGTCTAAGACGTAGTAGAATTTTCTTTGGGAGCACATAATGCTTTTACCATTGACAAAGTGCTTTTCACTTATTAGATAATAAGTGATTAATAACAAACTTCATTTCCTTTTTGCAAATTCTTGTTGGATATAGCTTACTGGTTTCACAGTAGGAAACACGGAGTGGACAGTTTGCTTGATTCTGATCTCTAGCAAGCAAGGAAGTCAGAACTCAGGTATTTCCTTATTATCTCGGAGAGAGGGAGAGGGAGGAGAGGTAGAGAGAGAGGAAAAGGAGAGAGAGAGACAGAATATGAGTGAAAGTGAAACCTTTTGGGGTGGATAAAGAACATTAGAAACGCACCACACTCTATATGGCTGAAGTGTCAATCCTTAGGCACTAATCAGGAAGCTGCTCAGAGCACCCGAGACGCTCACCACAGCCTTACACAAACCTGAAAACATACACAATTTAAACCAGTTCTAAATTACGGTGAATTCTAAATCCAGTGAATTACCGTGTATTTTGCAAAAGAATGTAAAAGCCAGAAGTGGTGATGCACACCTGTAATCCCAGCACTGTGGAAGTAGATGCTGGAGGGTTTCCAGAGCTACATACCAGATACTGTCTCAAAAACTAAATTAAGAATGTTACATATTTCTCGGAGGAAGTAGTCCTCTTCTAGAGGGGAAAGTGCGGAAGATAATTAAAATGAGGTATCCTCTGGAGCTCCGTCTCGCTCTGCACCCTGACTCCTCAGCTGAGCCTCTTCCCACTTATCTCCCAATCTGCGCCGGCCTCCCTTCTTCAGCCTCAGAGTGATTTGGAGAATGAACCCGGCGCCAAATGATTTGGCGACGCAGCCCTCTGTGTACCCACCCGCCACTTTGAGATGCGCAGAAGCCTCTTCGGAGTTGTCGTTGTCTTTGAAAGAGCACCGGTACTCCCCCTGGTCCGAGACCCTGACACCTCGAATAAGTAGAGTAGCGCGGCCATCCGGGAGCCCGTCTGTCACCAACGTCGCCCTCCCGCGGTACTCGGTCATCTGCTGGTCCTCCTGCTCCTGGCCAGCCCGATAAAGAAGCACCGCTGGCGACCTAGTCTGTCGAAACCACCGCAGCTCCTCCACGTGCTCTGCGCTCTCGTTTGTGGAGAAGAGACAGGTCAGCTCCACATCTGAGCCCACGAGGGCCAGCACTGGCTCCTGAGGTGCGGTCACATGGAAGGGAGCTGCCAGAATAAATAAGGTCAGATGGGACGATGGGATGGGATGGAGGACCTACTCAACAGGCTTCTACTAAAGTAAGGAGCGTTGTTTTGTTTGTTTTTCAGACTGGATCTCACAAATCCCAAGCTGACCTGCAGCTGACTGCAGCTTTGATTCTCTTGCCCTCAACTCTCAACTAGCATTGCAGGTGACCACCACATCCATCGTTCCAATCCCTTTGACTTAAAGAAAAACAACTAGGATCTCCCTATGTAGCCCCAGCTGGCCTGACTCTCTTTATGTAGACCAGGATGGTTTTGAATCCAGAAAGATCTGTTTCTGCCTTTTTAGTACTGGGGCTGCAGGCACGCACTACCACCCGGGTGCATTTACTTTGATTCACTGAAGTCTGGTGGAGGTCCCCACTTGAAACCAAACCGGGTCACTGACATTTTAGGTACCTTCCAACCTTGCAAGAAAGAGATGGCTAGAATAGAGACGTACCTGAATCCAGCGTGGGCAGCTGCAGGACCAGGAGCTGGAGCAGAAAAGCCAACAGGCAGGAAACTTGCCTGTTGGGGGAAACTGCCATATCCAACCTTGCTAGGGCAACAGGCTGCTGATGAGTCACCAGGAGCTTCAGGCTGGGATTTAAATGTTCAGGGGGTAACTACTAGCTCGGCAAGCATCCTAATTCTCCACCAGTTCTTCCCAACCTGGGGCCCTGTATCTCCCCCCGCAGGGTAATTTTCAGTCCATGTTACAACAGTGCCCATCCACACCCTTCTCTAAATCTGGTCAGGCGTGCACAAAATGGCAAACCCGGTCCTACAGCCCTCAATGGTCTCCAGTAAGGGAGCTCTGAGGCACAGCTGCAGATAAATAAATGTTGGAATCTCTGCAGTTAAAAAAAAATAAGGAGAAGGAGGAAGAGAAGAAAAAGAAGAAATAAAATAAAATCGTATTGAGTAGAAAATTTTGTCATTCTTGCCTAGAAATTATAATAAAGATAACGACATGGAGGTAGAAATGGAGGAGGAGAGAGAGAAAAAAATGGGAAGTGGTGTTTCACACCTGTAAATCCAGCAGCCTGGAGGATCTCTGTGAGTTACATAGTAAGCTACATACAATCTGCCTGGTCTAGAGAGAAGAGAGGCAGAGCTTAAGAGCTTGAGTAACAGAAAGCCTAGCACAGAGAAGAAACTGGACCAAGAGTTGTGTTATTCTGTGCCTCGGTGAGCTAATTGAAGCACCTACCGACTTCGATGGTCACAAAGGAAAAAGGAGCACAAGCCAGAGTGACCAAGGAAAAAAGCTGCCTGTGGCCCCAGGGCCAAAGTTAGAGCCAGCAGAAGGAAGGGGGTTATGTGCTGCTAAGGAAGTCTACCCCTAGGTGGCCAAGTGTATTTTACTCAGAAAAAAAAAAAAAAAAAAAAAAAAAAAATTCTCCAAAGACCTGAACTATGTATGAATCGGTGGTCTGGTGCTTCCGATTCATCTCTAAGGGAACAGTATATTCATTGAAGAGCTGGACTGAATATAGGGACTAGGGACAAAAACACAGAAAGCCTGAGTAACTAAAATGAGATGTGAGACCATCAGCAGTTAATTTACCCATGTAACTTCGGTTCTTTTTGCATTAAAAATGACAATAAGTCCAGTGTGGTGGCTTGCCCATGTAAGTTTAGGACTCAGGAGACAGGAGGATCATTGTAAATTTCAGGCCAGCCTGGGCTACATAGAAAGATTGTGGCTTGCAAGAGCTACGTATAGAGAGGACTTGAACAAAACAGAAGAGAATTGGGTGTGTGTGTTTGTGTGTCTTCTATGGTTGTTGTTAGGTTTTGCTCTTGTTTGTTTTTTAAGAAAAAGACTAATGCTAGTAATACCTTGTTTGAATTATGCTGAGTAAGGAAGCATTTGGAAGAGTAATTGAAGCAAAGCAGATAAAAGAATAGGAGCCCAGAAAGTAAACTGCTTTATCATTACATTTATGAATAATTAAAGGTTGAGGCCACAATGACTCCAGAGCTCCATCGTTGATCTTCTCGACCAGACACTCTCAGGAGTGGCTGTGTGGGTGACAGCATTCCACAGGACACCCACCTTCAAGGTGGTACAACTGCACAGTTCACAACGACTTTGAGCTTCCCCCTGCCAAAGTCACCCAGGAGATCAGCAATTTCTTATTTTTGAATTTCCATTTATTACAGAAAATTGGGAAAATGAAGAAAAACAATTTTATAAACGAAATCACCATGAACCCATCAATTAATGATAGCTGACATACATATATTGTCTGGTATTTATTTTATATTCATGTACATCATAGAAACAATCAGTAAGTTTTCCTGAATAATTCAAAGCATTGCTAAAAAAAAAAAAAAGTATGTAATTGCCAAGATTATGGGATTTTTTTTCTATTATAAATAATGCACTTGGCATTTGGTAGAGTGCCCATGCACGAAGACCTGAGTTTGATCCTCAGCACTGCTTAAAATTAGGCTTGGTGGTTCATACTGATCCCCGGTGGAGGCAAGAGGATCAAAATTTTAAAGCCATTCGCAAATATAGACTAAATTTGAAGCCAGCCTAAGCTACTTAAGACCTTGGTAGAACATACACCTGCAGTCCTTCGATAGCTCAGTTGGTAGAGCGGAGGACTGTAGAGAGATCACTTTGGACATCCTTAGGTCGCTGGTTCGAATCCGGCTCGAAGGACATGGATATGTGTTTTGTGGCTCAGATTCCCAGGACCCAGGATGGAAGGAGAGAAAGGCCTCTATTTGGGAATCTTTGGGAATCTGGCTCAGATTCCCAGGACCCAGGATGGAAGGAGAGAAAGGCCTCTATTTGGGAATCTTTGGGAATCTGGCTCAGATTCCCAGGACCCAGGATGGAAGGAGAGAAAGGCCTCTATTTGGGAATCTTTGGGAATCTGGCTCAGATTCCCAGGACCCAGGATGGAAGGAGAGAAAGGCCTCTATTTGGGAATCTTTGGGAATCTGGCTCAGATTCCCAGGACCCAGGATGGAAGGAGAGAAAGGCCTCTATTTGGGAATCTTTGGGAATCTGGCTCAGATTCCCAGGACCCAGGATGGAAGGAGAGAAAGGCCTCTATTTGGGAATCTTTGGGAATCTGGCTCAGATTCCCAGGACCCAGGATGGAAGGAGAGAAAGGCCTCTATTTGTAGTCCGGACGACCAAAGCTTAATTATTCGAAGGGGTAGGGAATAGAAAAAGGAAAGCATAGTTGTGTGATCTATTCCGTAAATGGTACCATAGGATTAAAGGGCATAAACATGTTGTCACACACCTCCCACTAGAGTCCTTTGACTCTGCCAGCAAGGAGAGTTATTATATGCTTACTATGGAAACGTGAGATTTATTAAATTATTATTATTATTGTTATCAAGCCTTTCTATGATAACAAGGCTGTTCATTTTTCATGTATTAACAAACCACTTGGTATAGTCTAAACTGAAACTGCCCAGGCCAGTTGCTATCTGTCTTGAGGACAGGGCTCCATGATACTTCTTACTGGTCTATGTGGGTATTTTAAAATTTAAAGTTAATAACTGTATTATATTTGGAGTCTAGGGAGATGTCTCAGCAGTTAAGAGCACTGGCTGCTTTTGCAGAGGGCCCAGGTTCATTTCCCAGCACCTACAAGATATCTCACAACTATCTGTGATTAAAGTTCCAGGGGCCTTCTGGGATACCCCCACACACATGACAAACATATGGTCATACACATAAATTAAAAATAAATTGAAAACAATTTTTAAAATAACTGTTTTGTATTTTTCACAAAATTCCTTCTCAGTTTTATTTTTCTTTTAATTATTATGATTAAGTTCAAGGCTAGCTACACCAGTTGGCCCACTGACTGCCAGGATGTGGGTTGTTCCCAAGCACAAATCAGGTTATGCTACTTTTTGCTTAAAATTCCCTGCATGTTAAGGACTGACAAGAGGGCTTAGAAGGCAACAATCCCTTTATGTCTGATTGTCAATCAGAAATGACATATTCATCTTGTTCATACCTATACGATATGTATATTATCAAAGTATGGAGTCTTTAGTCCTGAATTCTTGCCTTGGAGGATAAAGATATTGTCAGTTGGGTTGGAAAATGTTTCAGGAGTTAAGAACATGGACTGCTCCTGTAAGGACCTGTGTTGAGTGGACCACAACCACCTGAAACTCCAGCTCCCAGGGCTCTGATACCCTCTTTGGACTCCTTGAGCATCTGTACTCATGTTCACAAACCCACACTTGGGCATACACTTAAATACACAATTAAAAACATTAAAAATAAATCTTTAAAAAATATTACTGTCAGGCAGTGGTGGCCCAACACAAATTCATATGAGATTCTTTTTTGTGTGTTGGCCTTCCAATGTGTACTTTGTAGATGACAAAGATTATCTCAGTGTCAAATGGGTGGAGAAAGGGAAAAGTCTTTTGTTGTGGGAAATTTTGATGGAACTCTAATACTCCTGAGACTGCCCAATATAGTTATACCTTGAATCAGGGGGTGGAGCCAGTGACTTGCTGATCAGAATTGGTCATAGAGAAGCCCAGGAAGGAAAGGGTGGAGACAAGCTTTTGAGCTCTCTTGGTTCTGGACCAAGTGAACAGATGTGTCTCATACAGTGTCTCTGGCCAAAAAGCAAGGCCAGCTAGTTGCTACTCAGCCTCTCTGAGCTGGCAGATTTTCACCCCAGCCTTTGACTTCTGAGTCTTATTGAGAAATAGAACTATAGAGACTAATTTAAACCTACATATCGAGATCATGGCAGAGCCAGGGTCATGGGACTGGAAGCCCCACCAGGCGGCGGCCTGAGTGGCCAGCAGGGTGTTGACTGAGGGGCAGCAGGCGATAATTAAAATATCCGTAGATTCATGTGCAGCTGGTAAGCCTACAAAAAAAAAAAAAATCAGTCTTTGTCTTTTTTCTACACCCTCCCTGCTGTCCCACCAGCAGGCAGGACTTGGAACTGGAGTGGCTACTCAAACCACCACCTCCAGATAACAGTGCTTATCTTCCCTCTCCCAGAGCATTCTGCCCCTTCTTGTTTGCATGATTAATTCCTCTTCCTCCCTCAAAAGTCCCTTAAGGGAGGAAACTTCTGCAACTTCTTCCAGAAGCAAACAAACATGACTACTTTTTTATGGGGGTGGGAGGCCCAGGATCTTATAACTCAGGCTGGCACCAGGCACATTATACCGCTGAGGATCACCTTGGAGTGATCCTCCTGCCTCCACCTCCCAAGGCGGCGATGATAGGTGTGTGCTACCAAGCTGGCTGCACATCACTTTTATAATTTTATTTTATTTGTTACATTTTGGCATTTTATTTTGTGTGTGTGTGTGTGTGTGTGTGTGTGTGTGTGTGTGTGGGTCTGTGTGTGAGCGTGTGCGTGAGAGCATGCTGGAGATTGAACTCAAGGCCTCCTGATGCTGAGCACATGCCATACTGCTCAGTTAAACCTACAGGCTTCTGTAGTTTTTTCGTTTTTTGTTTTTCTCATTCTTGTTCAGAATCGTCAGATGATGAGGAAGCAGCCAGCTGTGTGGCAGTTCTGGT